GAGAGAGGGAGGGAGGAGGAGAGAAAAGGGATTTGGCATTTTATGAAGAAATTTCTTATAAAACATTTCATCAATAGGAATTTCCAAATTTGGTAACAGTAGCAAATGTATTATTTTAATAAAACATCTATCTTTTACCTTCCACAAGTCAAATGTTTCAGGTATAAATCTACTAATTACACACTCAGACTCCAGCTATATGACATTCACATGAGGGGAGCCTCATAGCTAAGATTTGCATAGTGGAGAAAACACTGGACAGGCATTCTGAGGTTCTGGCTCCATCATTTGTTGGCTGTGTATGTGACCTGGGCTGAGCTGTTTAACCTGACTATTGATTTCCATATGTCTAAAATAGAAATACAACCATCTACTTCATGGGGCTAAACAAAATAATATAGTGATTTACACAAATTTAATATCTTATTGTTCAGAACTGGGTCATTTAGTTGAGAAGCAAGGGTACTCACCTGGCAAGGAAAAATAAAACAAAGCAATCAGTCTAACACTCTAAATTTTGAGAAAATGGAACTTAGAAAATGTTCTACAGCAGGAGTCTGAAGTTGAAATGGGTCTCTACCATACACACTCTCTTCATTTAGTTCACCAGAGCCATTTCTTTCTTGTGATAGAACACTTTACCACTATAACAATCTTACTTTTCTTCTCAACCCAGTTATGTATTTGTAATATATTTTTTGAAGATGTTGGATAATAAACTGAACAGCATTATGCACACATAAAGATGGCTGGTTAGGAGACTGAGCCTTTAAAAATAAGGTTATATCACGGGCTGGATGTGAGTCATGGCATAGTGATAGGAAGTAAGGCACTTCCTGCTATATTGAATAAACAGTGTAATGTAATGAATGGAAAAATTCCATCATAGTTCTTTAAAAAGTTAAATGGCAATGTTGTCCTGATTACAGTTTTCTTTTATTAAACGCATCTCTTTCAACAAAAGGTAAGAATAGTGGTTTAAGAGATGACAAAGACTCTGGTTACATTTTTTATTGGCATGATCCACAAAGAATACACTATTAAATACTAAGTCAAAGGCCTGATTCAGTAAAAAACTTGGCACTAAGTCAACTAGTCTATGATTGAAAAGCTTAGGAAAATTATACTATCCACTGAAAAGGTAGCAATGAATTATGAGAAGGGTAATTACTACTGCATTTTTCTAAACCAAATACTCAGTTAAACAAAGGTGTCCTATTCACAGTACAAAATAAATACTGTCTCAACAAATAGATAAAATTTAAAGCCCATGAAATTTCTAGCAGAAGCTATTAAAACATTATGCATTAAACATTATGCTTGTCATTTTCTGAGGAAAATACATTAAAAATATAACACAACTCAGAGAAAACACAAATGTTATATACTGCTGATGTCATTAGCCTAGCGTCTTACCAGATTCACATTCCAATTTGGTTCGATTTAAATCAATTCCATCATCCACAAACTGACAAATTGAAAACAGTCTGCAACCTCTCTGACATGCGTATAATTCCTCTTCCTAGGGAATTCAAGAATAGAGAGGATTACCAAAAAATAGTACTTTTCCCTCAGAGGAAAAAAGGGTCAAAAAGAAAGCAAAGTTAGTAGAGTTTATTATAAACTGTCTAATAAATTTTATAACTGAAAGAAAAATGATAAGAGCCAGGTAATACCTAAGACCTCCGCTATATAGAGGCTTTAGTTTCTTATTTTTAAAGTGATACCCAAAAAAGAAGCCTAGTGGGTAAAATCACTTTTTTCCTATATTCTGTGGTCATATTTTGTGAGGAAAAAACTGAAAATAAAAATAACAGTGACAAACATAAGTTTAACAGAGGTAGAAATGAATAAGTAAATACCTTAGGACCAATGGCATACTCCTGCCACATAAATATTTATATGTAAGCAGGCTTATTAGAAAAAGTATCATGATTAGCTTCACATGGCTATAAAGATCCCTACAAAGTGAGGTGTACATCTACAAAAACTCGTACATGAAAGGATTTTTAAAACTTGGCTCACTTTAACGGAAAACACAAGCAAGAGCAACAGTGTGATGTATGGCAAAGGCCAATAGAATCAGCCAGAGGTGAGTGACCCTGCACAAGTTACTCTGCCTATCTAAATCTCAGTTTTCTCATCATAAAAGGAGATAATAGCTATAAATTATCGCCAGCTCCCTCAATAATGCTGGAAGACAGCTATCCTAGCACAGTGCCTGAGACATAAGAGGTGCTCAATAAATGGTGGTAGTGTTAATCATAATAGATTTTAAAAATAGAAAACAATAGTTACACACAACATTGTACACGTATGGGAGCTGAAGACAGAATAGATTCTTCATCACTGGAAAATGTTAATTGCTTATGACAATGTCTTCAACAGGCTTTCTTCAATAAAATAGAGTATTTGAAACAAATCAGTATGTGGGGGAGCCCCCTCAACTTACTGTGTGATCCACTGTGTACAAACTGGCAGGCACCTAATAAGGAAGGAAACAGCATGTGCATATACCAGTTAGCAACCAATGGAATACAAAGGTATGCATTTCTTTCCAGCAGGAGGATTAGTAAAATTTATGCAGAAGCAGCAATCCATTAGGAAGAGATGACTGCAGTCTAATATTAAATAAGATCTATTATATAGCTTTGAAGGTAGCACATTTTTGGACCTCAGTTCTAGTTGCATTTATTGTTAAGATGAAATTGAAAGACTTTTAACAATTAAAATAAATTTCATACCTGAGTTGCTTTTGCAGGCTTTGTAAAACAATGGAAGAATTCTCATGTATTAGGAGCCCCACATCTTTCCTGATATTGCACAGAGGAAGCATCAGCTCATTAGTATGAGCTATAATGCATACTATTTCATTTTCAGATATTTTCTTCTGTTAAACCAACCCAATAAGCCCTCCAGTACTCTTCTCAGAAGAGAGTATGGCATGGTGAAAAGAGCTTAGATTTGAAGCGCAGCCTCACCATTTATTCTGTAAAACCCTGGACAAGTAACTTAATCTCTCTCAGCCTGTTTCCTTAGCTGTAAAACAGGGACAACACTTTTACGTCAATCTGGAATATGAGGATTACACATTTTATACTCACAATATCATTAATATTATGCTACACTATCTAATAAATAGACATAACTTTAATAATATATTTAAAGAGCACCCACAATGTGCCAGGCACTGTAGTAACACTTAACATCTTATACAACACCTGGCACAGAGTATGCATTCAACAGGTAGCTATGAAGAATCATATTCTTGTTCCAAGTACATGTTTTATTACTTCAAGGAAATAATTCATGCCCTATGTATCCCAAATGACTGGCAAGCTTTTATAAAACATATCCCCTGATTTAGAGTACAAGGAGATGGTGTTTCCTACCAAACAGAATATCAGCTAAGTAATTACAAGGAATCTCGATACTATTTATAGATTTTATATGCATTATCCTGAGGTAAGTCAAGCTAAGTATTCTCTCATTATTCAGTACTACTAATACTATATGTACCAAACTGGTTTCATGCCATATAAGAAACTGCCATGTGTTAGGCACTGTGCTGAGAATGCCACATATAGTATCTTTAATCCTCACACTAGCTCTGCAAGGTATGAGGTTTTTTTTGTTTTTGTTTCTTTTTAACAGCTGACAAAATGAAGTCAGGAGAAGTTAAGTGATCAGAGAGGACATACAGATAATAAAAGTGGAGCTGGGAATGGAACTCAGGTTTGCATGGTTCCAGAGCCCACACTTTGTTAAAAAAAATGGCCGGCTGGCTCTAGTTAGCTTTGTTATTAACATGACTTATGTCTCTGGTATTTGGATCCAGGCAAACTATGCAATGACACTTTTGAGGAAAGTTAAAGGGTAAAATATAATATTTTTAAAATAATTCCTTATGAACAGGTAAGATACTTTATTACAACAAATAATTAATTCTGAAAGAGTCATTAATAAGATTTCTATCTGCCAGCTACAAATAACAGACCAAGAGAGGCTATGTGACCTTGTAAATTCATTTCTTATATAACACAACTTTTTCCTGAACTGCAAAGCACAATAAGTCATAGGTGGGCCAAAGAAATCTGTGAAATTAGTAAATTAAATATTTTTAATACAATTTTATTAATAGGAGGCAGCACAGTATAGCTAGTTTTAGTACTGATTCCTACCTCTCCACTACTTGGCTATGTGACCATGGGCAAGTCACTCAATCTTACAGAGCCTTAGTTTTATCAGTTGTAAAACCCTATCTTGCAGGGTGGTTGTGAGAATTAGGGATAATGGGTGTAAATTGCCCATGATACTGGCTAACAGAGGGCAGATAGTTAATAAATTTTAAGTTCAGGACATGGAGCCACATGATTGTGAGTTCCTGGTGAGAACAGCTTTAAAGAATAAGTAAAAATGGCTTAGCTATCACATCGAGTTTTAGAAAGTAATGGATATTATACAAGTACCTAAAAGTTCCAGAAATGTTTATCCTTTTACTTATTCTCTCAGCATTCTGGTTTATACTACGAATTTGCTAGTAAAATCTCAAAACGAACAAACAAAACTCCACAGCCATACACTGGAATGATACAAAATAAGTCTCTGTCCCAAACCAGGCCAAATCAATATTAATGAGTTTCCTCATACAATCCTCTTAGCTGAGAGGTTTATAAGAAGAGAAGAAAATAATGTATTTAGGGACACTATACATTGATTTAAGTCTGGAAGCTGAAATTTCTCATTTCTCTTTCTTGCTATATTAGTATTAGTCTCTGAAAATTTTAGGATAATACCCTCCCCTACACTTTTTCTTGAAAATTGATATTCCTCACCCAATGTAAAATACAGCAGCAAACAGACAGGGGAAGTGATAGCATTTACAACTTTTCATTTCAAAGACCTGAAAACACTTGCCAATAAGAAACATCCTAAATTCATTGGACCTGTCCTCGTAGTCACTTTGTAGTTGGAAAGAGCAAAAAAGGGCTAGCCAGGCGGTTAAGCAAACAATACGGAGGAGATGAAGTAAAACAAAGAGAAAAAGACCAGCAACATTAGCAAAGCTCTTATAAATAAAGGTAGTGAGAAAGGGGAACATATACCCAAATCATATATAAGAAAGAGTGGGCGAGTCACCATGCAATTTAGAATGTTGAGTAAAGAGAGTTCTCAAGAAGCTGAAAAGGCAGCACCTGCGGTGGGGGGGTGGCGGACAACCAAGGAGTGAAAGTAGGGTCAGTCCTCTCCGTAAGCTATACCCCTCTCTCCCCCGAGGGGCGGTCTCATTTCTTTACCCACTCCACGAATCCCCTGTCTTCTTCTCGGAATGGTAAATTCTTTGAATGCAAAAACCTGCTTCTTCTCTAAGCCATCCCAGTCCCTAGTGGCAGCGCCTTGCACACAGTAATTTAACACAGGCGGAAAGCCCTTCCTGTGCGTCTCCCAACTCCTTAGGCTGACTTAATACATTTCACACCACAGTAGAACTGTCCACTTGCCTGGCTCTCCGAACACAGACCGCGCTCCCGGCCCTGAAAAGCGCTCAGTAAACATAGGTTACGAACTAACCTTTTGCGGCCTTGCGTATCTGCTCCCGGCCCCCGCACCCGCCGTTTCTTACGCTCCTTGAAGGTGAGGACCCCACATTAATCATCAGTATCCTCCTCCCCCTTGGAGTGCTCGTCTCCCCTGCTGCCCCGCAAGCTCCCGGAGGAAAGGAGTCGCATCTTACTCATCTTTGTGTCCCCCAGTCCTTTACAGGGTAGGTAGGTGCAGCACAACTTCTGGTAATTACAGTAGGGGCGGGGTGCGGGTGGGATAGTGGAAAACAAGAGTTACAAAGGTGCGAGACAGCAGTTGAATGGTGGATTCAACGGCTAGGTTCCAGAGCCGACAGAAGTGCGGGAGAACGGAGAGATGGGCGGCCAGGGGAGATGTAGCCCAGTTCAGACGGGCCCTACCTTGGGGTAGGTGTGCAAGGGGTAGGTCAACTGACAAGCCCGGTGGCAAGACGCCGTATCACCCAAGACCGAATCAAACGCTTCAGCCGAAGCGGTTCCCGAGCCTCCGGCCAAGGCCATGGTCAGCAGCAGCAGCGGCGGGAGCCCCACTTGGGCCCCGACCCAGAAGCTCCCCTTCGCCGCCGCCATTTTGTTTCCCTCTGTCACAGCAGCTCAGCTAGTTGATGTTTTCTTTTCAGAGGTTCCTCCTCCTTCCGGGACCAGCCCCTTCCCCGCCCCACGGGCCGCCGCTTCCGCCTCAGCTGTCTCCTCAGCTCCGCCCAGACCCGCCCGAAACTGCCACCTCCTGCCCCACCTCTGGGTCTACGAACTTCTAGGTGGGCGAGAGGAGGTGGGGCCAACCATCGCGAGTCCAGGAGCGAACTGGCTCCCCCTGGCTCCTTCCTTTTGCGGAGCACGCTGGGGCTTGTAGTTCTCCGCAAGCTGGAGGCGCACGGCGCGATCCTGAAAGTTGGTCTGGGAGAACCACAGCAGCCTTAGGTGGGGTATCACCCGCTCCCTTCGTAGTGCATTCTGGGGAGTGTGGTTTGCTGTGTCCCTGAGGCGTTCCGCAGGCGGACTCGTCCTCTTCTGAGAAACTACCGCCCTGGAAGGAAGCGTCCGTTTAGTTTCGTTACCCGTGGTCCAGGCTTGGTGGCCTCAGAGGGTGTTCCCTGGAGGGGCCTAGCTGCACCAGGGCTGCTTTTCCTGGTGGGTTTCCTGTCAGACCGCTGTTAGATTTCCTTTCCTGGGCTCGTGGCTGCTGAGGGCAAAGGGAGATGGTGTTTACTTTTGCTCCGGGGAGTCCAGAAAAGGACAGTCGCGGTTAGGGTCCTCTGACTACCAAGCAGTTCTTGGAGATGGCTGCTTGATCTTAGGATCCTGCTGAGATCTAGAGGTGGTCGTTGATTGCTGGTTACTAGTGGAACCCTTTGGATTGTGGCTATGGTGGGGATAGTTTTTAAAGAGAGCTTATTGAACCCAGTGGAACTCTAACCCTGCCACAACGCAGCCTAAGTTGGAAAAGGCTTTAAAAGTCACCAGGTTCAATGCCTGGTCCTATATTGGAATCCCCTCCACAGTGCGCACTTCTGAAAGCTAGGTCCATCCTAACTCAGGAAGTAGACCCATCATTGTAACAGTTTCAGTTCTTAGGAAGATGTTTCTTTTTCAAGAGGAAATCTTCCTTTAAATTCCACCCAATAGTCCTTATAATTCAGGAATGCTTCCAGAGTAAATAGAACTCAATTGTGTCACTTTAGTGAACATGCATCCCAGCAGTTTTGATGATATTTTAGAATCTGCCCTGTTTTTTAAAAAAACAACTAAACTACAAACTTTATTTGAATTTTATCCCCCGCCCCCCTCCATGTCCTCTTCCTGTTCTGGGATCAGACTTGCCCTCTTACTTGAGCAGAACACACCGAAAGTAATTGGAATCCTCTAGAAATGGATAAATTCGTCATTCGAACACCAAGAATCCAGAATAGTCCTCAGAAGAAAGATCCCGGAGGAAAGATTTACAAGCAAGCCACGATTGAATCTCTGAAGGTGAGAGGGGATCTGGGACTGGAGAAAATGTGCAAAGAACTGTGATAGTAGGCTGTGTGAAAGAGGTTGACCATGGGAGACTTGCGAATTATTTCTTGCTATGCTTACTCCCCAAAGCTTTCCTAACGACTACTAATTTGTTTCAGCCATACCTCATACAGACTTATTTATCATTTCCTGCACTTCTGTTACACTTTTCTGATTACTTTGGCTTTATGGTATGTTTTGCTAGCTGGTACGACAAGACCCCTAAGTTATTTTCTTTTGCAAAATTTTCTTGTCTGTTGGGAGTGTTAAAGTACTAAATATGATTCTGTGTACTATGTACAAACTCAATTAGGCTGAGTGGTATACTATACTCTCATAGCTGGAACTGTATGACATGGCCTCCATAGCTACAGCTGAGACTGGGAAAGAGACTTTTAATGGACTTTTTGTAACATTGTACTCAGCCTGATTTCTGTTAGCAAGGAAGAGGCCAAGAAATAGATACAGGATAGACAACCAGTAATGAATCAGTGAATGTAGGTATCCAGTTAAAGATAAAATAATTATTATTTCACTAAAAACAAAAATAAAAACCTGCCTGTTATTAGTTTCCTTTGTCTTCTAGAACCTCTCTTCCTACATTTCTGACTTTTTCTTTTTCGGTTTCCTTCATTGGTTTATCTTTCTCCAGTAGACTCCTAATATTTGTGCTCCCCAGAGCTTTGTCACATTTTTTTGTATTTGTCCAGAGTGACCTTATTCATCTTAAGGCTTCCTTCCCATGCTGATAACTGCCATACATGCACCTCCAGCCTAGATCTCTGAGAGTGAGAGTGAAATCTGGGGCTAGAAAAAATGTGCAAAGAACTGATAGCAAAGTGGCATTCTGTGTACTTTATATACTCAGGATGGACTCCTCTCCTAGATGTGCTACAGGCTTACCAGACCCACATTAGAAAGGGAAGTATAAACAGAAGCCCTGGGTTCTAGTACTTACTATGCAACTGGGTGATCTTCAGCAAGTCATTTCCTTCTCTGGGATCTCAGTTGTCCTCACCTAAAAAATGTGGGGATTGAACTTTATCAGTGTTTCTTGCCCTTACATCTCCCACTTTAAATTAAAAAATCTTATCCTCATCTAGAGTAGTTAATCTATCTCCCTGCCCTTGGCATCTCGTCCTTTCCCCTCTACACTTAAGCCAGAGAAGTAAGTCTTAAAAAAATGGAAATCTATTCAAGTCACCTCCCTGCCTAATCTTTCAGTGGTTTCTCATTACCTATCGATAAAGACATTTCTTTACATGACACCCAAGGTTCTCCATGACCTGTAACCTGCTTGCCTCATTCCCTGCTGCTCTTATTTACATTTCATCCAGTGTCAGGCACTCACAATTTCTCAGAGATGTGCTCTTTCATACTTCTGTACCTTTGCATATGCTTTCCTGTTTGCCTGACTTTACTCTCTTGGAAACAATACAGTATAGTAATTAAGAACATAGACTCTAGAGCCAAACTCCTGCATTAAAATCCCAGCTCTGCCATTACTCCTGGTGTGACCTTGGACAAGTTATTTAACCTCTCTGTGTCTCCTTATCTATAAAATGGGATTAATAATATCTGTTTTATAAGGTAGTTATGAAGCTTGAATGAGTCAATATATGTAAAGTACTTGGAACAGAGCTTGGCACACACTAAGTACTATGTCGGTGTTTGCTATTATCATTTACTTTATGAAATCCTATTTAGTCCCCATGACCTAGTTCAAGAGTCTCCTCTGTTATGAGGCCTTTCATGACTACCCTTCTGCCCCACAGATACTTGTTGACCTTAAAAATAAAACAGCCAGTTATTTTATCAGGAAAAATGTTTTTCTTTTCAGGAATGGCAGAGAATTACAATTCAAGAGAAGCATGCTATAGCAAAAAAATATAGGCAAGTCTACGAAACAAAGGTGAGGGAGCTTTATAGAGAAAAAAGAGGAAGTTAGGAAGGGTGCTTTGCAAGTAAGTCCATTGAAGGAAAGAGAGTTCAGAGTGGTGATGGCTTCTCATTGACTGAGTTTTGAGGGTTCCCATGGGTCAGGCTTGTTGCTGGGCAAGTAGAAAATCTTCCTTCCTCTTGTTCAGGTAGTGGAGACACTTTTTGTTGGGAATGCAAGATATGGTCGCTTCTTCTTGGGGTCTGTAACTGACATGGTGTGGTGGTGCCAATAGTGCATGACAGCTCCTCCTTCTGGCCTCCTGAGTCCATTTTGAATGCAGTTTCCTTTATTCAGTTTCACATTCTCTAAGCCGTCCCTATATCTTAAACATGCCCCCATCATTGCACTTATTTGTGCTATATTATAAGTGTTTCTTTACATGCCTATGTCCTGCTACACTCTAAGCTTCTCGAAAGAGTATGTCTTATTGATTTTGTGACTGCAGTGCCTAGCAGAGGGCTTGGCATATAGAAGCCTTCAATACCTTTTTCCTAATGACCGAATGAACTAAAACTCCAAAAAACCTTGACATGGCATATGAGACCCATCCTGTTCTGACCCAGTGAACCTTGTCATCTCGTCTCTTGTAGCTCCCCATTCACAGGAATGCATTACAGCCACACCCTGTTTCTTGCTGTTCTCTATTCTCTTTCTTGACTCCAAGGCTTTGAATAATGCTGGTCCCTTTTCCTGGAAAGCCTTCTCTTTCTTTTTACAGAGTGAATTTCTATTCATTTATCAACCCACTAAAATGCAACTTTCCCTGTGAATCCTAGATTATAAATTTCAGTGACCTTGGGTATTTTATTTACCTCTATATCCTTGGACCTGTCACAGTGCTTGGCATATATTAAGTGGTCAATAAATATTTGTTAAATAAGTGTATGTTGAAATGCCTTCTAGGACCTTGGGAGAGTTAATCTTTCCCTCTTCAATAGTCTCTTATCACCTGGTCAAATATGGGTCATTGTACTTACCTTACTGTATTATAATTATCTGATTACTTGTAGTTTTTCTGTCTACTATGAACTTCTAAGGACCAGGACTACAGTGTTTTATTATGTTCTGATTCCGCTCCTAGACCTAACACAGTACCTGTACATTGTAGGTAAAAAATTATTGAATAAATAAGATACGTTCTTATTTAGAGATGCCCTTGCAGAGTCTAGATATTAAACTATTTTATAAATATTATCGTGAATTAACTTTATGCCCAACACTATGCTAGATACTCTAAGACAGGGGTCCCCAACCCCCAGCCATGTCATGGCCTGTTAGGAATGGGGCCATGCAGCAAGAGGTAAGCAGCAGGCCAAAGAACCAAGCTTCATATGTATTTGCAGCCACTCCCCAATGCTAGCATCACCACCTCAGCTCCACCTCACATCATCAGGCATTAGATTCTCATAGGAGCACTGGTCCCTGATGCCAAAAGGGTTGGGGACCGCTGCTCTAGGGACCAAAAGAGAAATTTAAGGTCAAAGTATGAGAACTTGTGGGACTTCCCATTAGAGTATCATAGCATAAGAAATTATTAAGTAATGGTACAAAATCATATGTGATCCATTACAAAATTGTTGTTTGGACGATAAGAGTTACGAGAGGAGAGAGCTCAGTGTCTGTTTTAGTGGACAGAACATCCTGAAGGGATGGAAAGAAATTTGTCTAGGTAGAGGGAAGTAGTGACATGTCACCATTCAATAAGTGGTACTTGCTGTTCTCTTTCCTTTATGCATGCACACATGCTTGCTTTCATGTGTATACAATGACAAATTAAAATCAAATTAAGTTAAATGTGAGTTCTATAGACTTAGCTAGGTCTACTCTCTGCCAAATGACTTATGACCACACACCAGCTTCACAGTTTAATGTCAAGAATTTGCTAAATGTTTAAGCCTCAATTTCCTCATCAGTAACATCAGAGATAACAATGTCTAACCTGCAAGGTGGTTATGAGGGCTAAATCAGTAAATGCATGTTGAAAGGGCTAAGCATTGTGCATGGAATGTAGTAAAAAGTGGTAGTTTCCTCTTTTCATGTACGGAAAAGGAGAGGCTTGTATAGTAAAAGTAGATCCAAGATGGTGATGATGATGATAATTATAATGATTACTACTAACATTTATTGAGCCCATTTCTATAGACCAGGCATTGTGCCAAGTGCTTTATATTAACCATTTAAATTCTAATAACGACTCTGTGAAATGGTTGCTTTTATCATTTATATTTTACAGATGAAGAATCTAAGGTACAGAGAGATTAAATATTTTGCTTAAAGGTCATGCAACTATAAATGGCAGAGCTGGGATTTGAACTAGACAGTCTGATTCCACAGTCTGCCCCTGTAGGGTACACTCTCTCTATATAAAAAAAAAAGTGGAAGTTTCTGAATGCCACGCAAAGGAGGTATAAAAATCTTAGAATATTAGGACCATTGTACTTCTGTTATCAGCATAGTACAAGTAATTTTGCCATAGTCTTATCACATTCAATGAAAGTGATACTCAATAGAGTTCATGTAGTGTACATTTGAATGGTAGAGGTTAATTTCGTTAATCTCTTCTTACTCCCTTAAGGGAAAGTGATTTCTTCTGTTGGTTGCAATAGGAGATTTTTTAAATTAAAAGATTCTAGAATGTTAATTTTTTTAGATTCAGTACTCAAGACTGCTCTATAAACCTTTCTTCTCTTTGTAGGGTTGACTAGCCTATATGTTGTCCCTTGTCCCAACCAGTGGAGTGGTGCCCATGTTATTGCTTATGAGCAAATCATTTTCCCTAATTGCTTTTGTCAAGGTTGATATTTCAGCTATCCACAACTGTAAGACCAGATGGTATTTTGGAGAGGACATCTTTCTGGCAATAACCATTCCACTACTCATTATAGTTATCCCATTGATATTTCATGTTCACGTCCCTTGTTCCTCTAAATAATTCTGATAAGAACTTGAAATTTATATTTTTGGGCCCATATTTGGACAGAAATAAAGAAACATTCTTTGATATTTATGGAATTCCTTTGCTCTGAAACCGACTGTTACATTTTTCTATTTCTCCAATTAAATTTCAGATCTGAAAACTGTTCTGTACTTAATCCTCGCGGGTAGAAATGTCTTTGTTCAATGACACCTACTGTGCACTGGGGATAGAGAGACAAATAAATTGTTCCAGCCCTCAAGTTGCTCATAGTCAAGTGGAGAAGATAACCTTGTAGATAAGTATATGTAGAAAGCAGAGATGCAGTAACATAAGTCTGTACAGATTACAGAGGGACCCAGAACGGAGTGTGGTCAAATGTAGTTGGAGAGAGGCAAGAATGGCTTCATAAAAGAGGTGATGTTTGAAGAGTCTTAAAAAGTAAATAGGTTTTTATCACGTGGTTGAGGCAAAGAAAGAACATCCCAAGCAGAGAGTGTGAAATACTGTGATTCATTTAAACAGCCTACAATAGTTTGGTATATCTGGAGCAGATGATGAGGCTGAAAAAGATGTCAGGAGCCAAGTCATGTAAGGCTTCTTATGCCATTCTAAAAAGTTTGGGCTTCTATAGTTCCAAATGCTGGAATTATCAAATGTGAAACCCCGAACCTCATCCTAACCACGTAGAAATGCTGGATAAAAAATCTTCAATACAAAGCTGAGTTTGAAAGCAAGAAAGAGAAATCCTCAAGTGCCAGGAAGAGAGAGGATACTAGTGTAGATTTAATTGAGAATACATCTTAAAAAATTGTAAGGATGAATACTAAAATAATAGAATGTATAACTTCTAAATCACAAAGAAAAAATCAAGATTAAAGAAAACTCAGTCTGTTAAGTAAAAGGTAAAAGAGAAAAAACAAAACAAAACGAGAAAGTATGTCCAATTATATGAGTAATCGTAATAAATGCAAATGGGTTAAACATGCCTATTAAAAGAGAGAGATTCTCAGATTGAAAGAGAAGGTGGAGCAAAATAAAGTAGCCATGGGATATGTAAAGCATAATGACCATAAAGGGATGGAAGACCAAATATGAATATGTCACAGGCAGCAGTTCATCGAAGCAATGTTTATAACAGGAAAAATGTGTGTGAGTCGGGGGGGGACCCTGAATATTCATTAGGGAAATAGATTTTAAAATTCTAAGACATTCGTATATAAAAATAATGGAATACTATCCAATACAGTTAAAGTGGATCATCTGGCTTTACATACACACACACATCAGTGTGAATAAATCAAGAAAATATATTGAGTGAAAAAAAGCAAGTCGCAGAATCACGTGATATTTATATCATCTTCCTATTGAAAATATCCCCTTACCTGGCTTCATTTATTTATTTTTCATACCATTTAACACTAATACTATTTTATATTATAATAGATCATAAAAAAAAAGGACTTTGTCTCATTTTGGCTAGGGTCTTTAAAGGCTGAGAACAAAGCAACAGGTATCAGATGGTATTCCTAAATGAGATTCTAGACCATCCATGCAGAACTTGTGAAGGCAATACATGACCAGTTTTGGAATCCTGGACCCATCACCCACTTTAGGCTATAATGAAGGTTGAAGTTGAAGGAAGAAAAGAGAAAGAATTCTTTTAGATAAAGTGAATGTTTTTGGAGAACTTGACCTCAGATCTTGGAGATGGTGGACACAGACCAGGCCTGTGCCTGGGAACATCTGAAAACAGGGATAATGGCTGACTGATGCCAGAGGAAGTGGCTGCATTGAGAACGCTGTTACCCTCAGAATTTTTCAGGGCAAATATATAGGCAGTAGTGGAGAAAATGCTGGCTGGTGTAGAATTGAATTAAAGGGTTTGGGTTTACAAGTGTCCTTGGAAGGGCAATGGGAGCCCTGCAGAGAGAGTCTGTGTGAAGTGGGTTGCCAAAAACTGGGGACTTTGGGTGGACTTGTAAGCAATTGGCTGGAAGAGGCGTCGCCAACGTTTTGGGAACTGCGGGTGAGATCTCAACAATGGGAACTCTCCAAGGAACCACAAAAGGACCCCTAAGAAAAAAGTCAGCTTTACATATCTGCTGAGACTAGAGAGCACTAAAACCTGATTAGTAAAGCATTACAACAGAAAGTAAGGCTTTTTTTCTGTCTCTTACCTCTCCTCCTTTTCCTAGCTTTGAACCTGGAAGAGTCAGAGACCAAAGCAAAGAAGCAGATCTGGGAAAAGGGTGGAGCAAAGATAGGGAAATAGCGTCAGAAATCCCCTCCTCCCACCATGGCCTGCTGGGCTGAAAACAGATCCCAGCCAGTGGAGGGAGTGAGCCTTTGGGGGGGGGTTGCTTTTTATTGAACTATCACCTACATATAGAAAAGTGGACAGACATGAGTGTACATCCTGACAGATTTTCACAAAGTGAAGATATCTGTGTCCCCAGTATCTAGATCAAGAAACAGAACATTATCAGAATCCTAGAAGCCCCAGTGCCCGCTTCCATTCCCAGGGTAGTAAACATCTGAGAAAATTTTAAAAGCAGCTTTATTATTTTGTTTCTCGGTTTAGTTTTTTAAAAATTTTCTCTAGTTGAAATAATTTCAAAACTACAGAAAAGTGGCAACATAGTACAAAGAACTTCCCCATCCCCTTCACTCATATTCCTTTGTTGTTAATATTTTACACTTAATGGAAAGATGGTAGAATCTTCCAGGAATTGAAAGAGAGGAATGAGTTTGTGAAGGGTAAGGAGACTTAAAATTTAATGCTCTACTACTTTATGTGAAATGGCAAAATGTTAACTTATTTTCATTATAAATAGTGAATTACTCTGTACTTTTCTTTGTGTTTGAACTTTTTAAAAATTCTTCAAACAAGAGAATTTTAAGTTTTATCATCTAGGAAGTGGGAAGCTGTTGAAGTGTGCTTTTGTTGTTGAAATAAATACATCTTTATGACTTTTCTGCTCTCTGTCCTTGCCTATGAATTAAGACACTTAAGTGAGCTATAGGGTTGATTCACCTCAGCATCATTTTTCTTTTCTTCCCATCTTATTGCCTTTCACTGGTATCACTGCTAAGTGCCCAGTGATGTGTGACATGGTAAGATTAAAACTTGCACTTTTCCTAATAGGTGTAACTCCCTTCCTTATGTGCAGTAGGCAGGACCTGCTTTTAAGCAATTACCCATCATTTGGGGCTATCTTACACACTGTGCTTTGGTTCAGGTCATAATCAATAATTCATATGTCAATAGGAGCCCCATTAGCTCAGGTGAAGGCAGATGTCTTTCTAATGAAAATGTTCCATTTTCCAAATGACGTTTCTTTTTCCCAGAGAGTTGTGGTTATAGAAGACATAAAAAGATGGAAAACTACATTGGAGCTTCCTGATCAAACCAAAGAGAATCTAGTTGAAGCCTTACGAGAATTAAAGAAGAAAATACCCTCCAAGGAAGTGTTAAAATCAACAAGGATAGGTACGTTCCTTCTGAATGAAAAGTACTTATATTTTGTCTCCTTCCTTCTTCCTTTTCTCACTCAGTCAAACATTAAGTTATCCTTCTATCAGTGCTTCTCAAACTACTCATGGTAATGGACCATTGTTTAAAAAATTCTGCATTGGTTGCAGAACAATACTTTCATAATATAAAATAAAAATTACAAGAAAATTAAAATATACAAAATATAAGTTCCACTTTTTAAATTAGATTTAACATATAGAATTATTGTCATATTGCTACATTATGTAGCATATTGCTATAAATGTTTCTAAATGCTTACTTCAGTTCTTACTGCATGGACTGGCAACTGGAAATGATCTGTAGATAACATTTTGAGCATGCTTGATGGTGGGTGTGCAAAAATGAGTGAGACTTGGTTCGTAACCTCAAGGAAATTAGGGTTTGGTGGAGAAATAAGCATGTAGACAAATGGGAACAATAAAGTGTTATGTATTATACATAAAAACATAAACAATATCCTGGATACTATTCTGATCTGTACAAAGTATGTGCTGGTATAAAGGACAGAGTAGTTACTTACATCTGGGGAATTCAGAAAAGGCTTCATTGAAGTAGCATCATTTCAGTTAAATTTTGAAAGAGAGTTAGCCTTTCTGTCTTGAGTAGAAATAACTTGCAAAGCATGGTTTATAAAAGCAAAATGATAGCATTTGCTGCTACATCATTTATTATATAGCATTAGAGATATTTAAAAGGTAAGTCAGGGACTACACTGAATTGCCATTTTAGTACAGTAGACAACTGTGAATAATATGCAAGGGAGGGCCAACATGTGTTCCTCAAGCTGCTCCCAACTCCCCAGAGAGCCCAGGGTAGTCATTCGCAGCTGCTGTTCTTGCCCTCACTAGTGCAGCCATTGGCTTCTCTGCCTCCCCTTGACCTCTTGTTCATGAGAAGCAGGAGAGAGAACAGCTTCAGACTGGCGCTAACAGCTGGCAAGAGCTGTGCGAAACCCCCAGAGGACCCCCAAGAGTCTTGAGAGTTGCACCCTTGTAATATAAACCAGAATCTGAGAAAATTAGAGCTTAAAGAACATAAAACCCTATCATTATAGCCAAGGAGATTCTCCCATCTGCTAGTGGATTTTCTCTTTATAGGTTGTGGTCGCTAGAGGGCAATAAGACCATTCAGATGAGCAGATAAGGAATTTCCACCAGTAGAGGGTACTAGTGATTAATATTTTATGACGTATATATTTACATATATGTATGTGTTCATATTTAGCCACACACCACAAATACCATTTATGATCAGATTTTAACCATGTAATAGGCTGGAATTGTCATACAAATACAGAACATGATCATTTTTGAAAAATCATTTCTGTTCTTTGAGTAAATTGTGAGTATGCTTTTAAGAATGGGTGTGTCCGATCAGAGATTTCAATTCAAGGATCATAATGAAACAAGGGGCTCGACTTGGGAGGAGCTGGAAACCATCTAACTTTTGAGTCATGACCCTACTCTAAGCCTTCCCTAAACCTAAGGTTGTATGGAATAGGGGTTTCTTGATTTCTTTTGTAGTCACATCAGTTGCCAGGCTGAAGATTCATTTGGATCATTGCCTGAGAATGTTTACATTCTTCCACCTTTAGCTTCCTGCCTGTCCCTATCCTGTGGGCTATAAGGAATAAATATTTACTGAGTGTCTTCTTTGTGCTGGGAACTGTGCTGGCATAATAATGGAGACAGATATTGTCCCTGCCTCTTTGAAGCCTGCAGTCTAATGGAAGGACAGACAATTTAACAAGACTTCCTCAGACAATGTAATGAGTGCTCTAATGATTGGGAGAAGTTAGCCCAAGGAGTATATGCGTTGGAAGTAGAGGAGAAGATGTTGAAGAATGTGTCAAGCAGAAGGTACATCATGTGAGCTGTGCAGAGGGCTGGAGGTGGGAGAGAACAGGATACACTGCAGAAACTAAAAGAAGTTTTGTGTGTTCGAAGTGAAGCTGAGGAGACCATCTGGATCAGTAGGAAAAGGCCCTTTGGAAGCCATTCAAAACTAGTCTTAGTATCTATTGGTTATTTGTCTCTGTGTGAAAATTACCCCCAAATTTAGCGGCTTAAGTATCTGTTATCACACACAGTTTTTCTGAGGGTCAGGAGTCTGGGAGCTGCTTATCTGGGTGATTCTGGCTCACAGTCTCTAAAGAACTGTTGGCTGGGTCTGAAAGTTTGACCAGGGCTTAAGGATATACTCAAAATGGCACACTCAGAGGATTGCTGGTAGGAGGCCTCAGTTCTTCATCACATGGGCCTCTCCTTAGGGCTGCTCATGACATAGCCATTGATTTCCCCAGAACAAGTGATCCAAGAGAGAACAACAAAGATGGAAGCCACAGTGTTTTTTATAATCTAATCTCAGAAATGACATAATGTCACTTCTATCATATTCTGTTAGTCACACAGACCAACCCTGGTACAATTTGGGAGGCAACTACACACAGGTTATGAATACCAAGATGCGAAGATCATTGGGAGCTATCTTGTAGACTGGCTGCCACAGTATGTATTTCTTTTTATTTCTCCTAGATATATTATACTTCTTGGACATGCAGATTTATGTTCATTTGTAGAAATTTTGTAGCTGATATCTCTTCCAAAGTGCCTCTTTTTCATTCTGTCTATTCTTTCATTCTGAGATTCTATAATTAAAAATATGTTAGACCTTTTATTTTCCATACCCCTTAGCTTGTTTGTCATTTTTTATCTCTTTGTCTCTTGTAGAATTCTGGGCAATTTCAGATATATATTTTCCAAGTCACTAATTCTCTTTTCTTCTGACTCTTATCTGCTATTTAACCCATTCATTTTGTTCTTTATCTCAAAAACTTTCTCATTTTTATAAATTTCCTTTTTCCCCCTAAATCTCTCTTAAATATTATTTGTACATTCTTATGATTGTACCTTTTATTTCTTTAAACATTTAATGTATAGTTCTGTATTTTTCATCTGACTATTCTAATATTTGTAGTCTTTAGGAGTTTAAATCTGTTGTTTATTGTTTCTACTGACCCTCATGGTGCTTGGCTCCCCATGTGTTTGTTGACTTTTAATTGTGAACGCATTATTTTAATCTATGGGAATTTTGTGTGACTAAATTGAAGAAGCTTCCCTCTAGAGAGGTTAGCTTTTTTGTTTAGTTTGTTTGTTTGTTTGTTTGTTGCTGCCAATAGAGAAGGGTGACTTCTGACCTGGAATACTTTAATATACCTCTCAAGGATCCCAGCTCAGTATAAGAGTTCCAGGATTAGCTGTCCTAGTTCACCACTGGCCCAAAGCTAAGTATTTTAGCAGCATTGCTATTAACATCAGCCCTTAGTTTAGCCCCGCCCCTCCCTGTGCCTACCCCTTTAGCCTCTGCTTACTTTTTTTCGAAGAGGAAATAAAGTGGTTTTTATCTAGAATCTAGATTTACTGCAGTGAAAGGGTAGCTTTACTCTACAATAAAATGATTATTATTGAAGGGTTTTGAATGGAGAAATGACATATTCACATTTGCATTTGAGAAAAAAAATCTATCTGGATGCCATGTGGGGAAAGTATTGGAGAGAAGCAAACCTAGAGACAAGAAGCCCAGTGAAGAAGCCACAAAAACATCTGGCTGAGACATGAAGGTGGCCTGATGGGGTAGTAGTTGTGGGAATGGAGAAATGTGGTTGGAATCAAGAGACATACATGGAATAAAATCCCAAAGGATCTATAGATTGATTGGATGTTGGGAATGAAGATAAAGGAGTGAAGGCTGAAAGCTAGATTTCTGCTATGGGCAAGTAGGTAGATGGCAGTACCACTCATTAAGATAGGGAACAACAGATTTAGAGGCGAGGAGATTAATAAATTCAGTTTTAGACTTAGTGTTTGACATACTGAGGGAAATCCATGAGGAAACGGGATGTTGGATGTGCAAGGCTGAAGCTAAGGAGAGACCATAAGTTTATACTTGGGAGTCATCATCAGCATGTAGCTAGAAACTGAGGCCATGGAACTAGATAAGCTTGCTCTGGGAGAGTATTTAAGAAAAGCATAGAGCTAAGTCCAAAATCTTAAAGCAGACCAATATTTAAGAGACTTACAGAGGGAGACTGAAAAGGTATGACTAGAGAAACAGAAAGGAAACAGGAGAAAATGCTGTCGTGAACGGGAGGGAGTATTTCTAGGGAGTGATTGGTCAGCAGTGTCTGCTGTTCTCAAAGGCCTAAATACGCTAAGTCTAAAAATTGCACATTAGGTTTTGCAAAGTAAGGTCATAACTGATTTTGGTAAGGTCACAGTAGGGTTTGGGGCAGAAAGTTGAGTGAGGAGGAGGTAAGAAAATGAAAATGAAAATAGGCAACTCTTTCAAGAAGTTTGGTATTGAAAGAAAAGAAAGAAGTCACAGTATCAGAAAGGGAATGTGGGACCAAAGAAAGTTGTCATTTTTAAAATAGGAGAGATTCTAACCCATTGAGTGACAGTTTAGTAGACCTTATAGAGAGTGGACTGGACTTACCAAGGGTTCACTGTGGAGATGAGGATGTCAGATGCCTCTCATTTTGTTGCCTCTCTTACCCTCTCCACTGGCTCTTTCTACCTTCAGACACACTCAGGTCTTCCCCTTTAATTGGCTTTGCCATCTCTTCCAGACGCCTTGTTTCCCTCTCTTTTTTTTAATAGGCCAGTTGTTTTAAAAATGATTGATAATCAAAACTCCCATTTCTGCCCCTCCCATTCCTTCATTCAACTCTTTCTCTACTGGTTCTCCCACAACCACTCTTTTTTTCCTCCAGGACACGAGTGATTTAATTCTATCCAAATCTAATCATCTTGTCTCATTTCTCATCTTCCCAGAACTATGAATTTGAGACCATTGATTAATCTCTTTTCTGTCAATATAAATGACACTGAACTTGTTGCCAATTCCTTATTTTTTAAATCTTCATTACCTTCATAGCCTTTATCTGAGTTTGTTAT